ACATCCTAGGAGACAGCAGATGGCGGCTTAAGTAATTCAGTCCCTGCCACTCACCAGGTAGCCCTAGATTGAGTTCCCAGCTCTAGACCTCCACCTAGCCCAGCCCCACATGTTAGGGGCATATGAGGAATGAACCAGGAGATGGGAGATCTCCATCTCTGACTTTTTTTTTTAAGATTTTGTTAATTTTTTCTCATCTCTCTATTGAACCTCATTGCCATAACAGCCAATTTATTTCATGGTGTACTATCCTTTATGTTTTTCAACTTGTTAGCCTAGATATCCTAGAGGTGGGAGGAAGGCATATACAAGGTTATGTCCAAAAGTCTGTGGAAAATGGAATTAAAAGGTAAGTTTATTTTAGTGCAAAAGATGTTGAAATCCATGCATATGTGAGGTCTTCAAAAAGTTTATGGAAATGGAATGCATATTAAAAAAAAAAAAAAAAAAACTATGCATGAATTTCAATACTTATTGTACCAAAATTTTTTTTTAAATTATTGAGAGGCAGAGAGAAGCAGACAGATGGACAGGCAGGTAGACAGAGCAACCTACCATGCAGTGGTTTACTCCCTAAATGCCTGCAATAGCCAGGGGCTAAAGCTGGAAGCCAGGAAGTCAGTCCAGGTCTCCCACAGGAGTAGCAGGATCCCAACTATTTGAGCCTTCATTAGTTGCCTCCCAGAGACTACATTAGAATGAAGATGGATTCAGGGCTGGAGCTGCAATTCAAACCCAGGTATTCTGATATGGGATACAGGCATCAACAGGTATCTTAACCACTGAGACAAATATCCATTCCCTTAATAAACTTATCTCTTTTTTCTTTTTTGAAATATTTAATTTATGTATTTGAGAGGTAGAGTTACAGACAGTGAGAGGGAGAGATAGAAAGGTCTTGCATCCACTGGTTCACCCACCAATTGGCCACAATGGCCGGTGCTGAGCCGATTCAAAGCCAGGAGCCAGGAGATTCCTCCAGTTCTCCCACACAGTGCAGGGACCAAGCACTTGGGCCATCCTCTACTGCTTTCCCAGGCCATAGCAGAGAGCTGGATCAGAAGAGGAACACCTGGGATTCAAACCACTGCCCATATGTGATGCCAGCACTGCACATGGAAGATTAACCTACTGTGCCACAACGCCGGCCCCTAAAGTTATCTTTTAATTCCACTATTCAAGAACTTTTAAAATACTCTTGTATTTTACTGAAAGATTTCTGCAAAGCACTATGTAAACTAAACATTGTATTTGGATTGACTAATTGTTTTAATATCCATTAAAACATTTAATAATCATTAAATATGTATATCTTCTGGTACAATTATTAATAAAAACTGCAAAACTTGATTTGCACTAAAAGGGATTAGAGGGGCTGGTGATGTGGCACAGCCAGTAAAGCTGCTGCCTACAGTGCCAGCATCCCACGTGGACACTGGTTCAAGTCCTGGCTGCTCCACTTTTTTTTTTTTTTTTAAGATTTATTTATTTATTCAAAAAGCAGAGTTACTGAGAGTCAGAAAGAGAGAGAGAGAGGTCTTCCATCCACTGGTTCATTCCCCAGATGGCCACGCTGGCTGGAGCTGTGCCAATCCGAAGCCAGGAGCCAGGAGCCTGGAGCTTTTTCTGGGTCTCCCACACAGGTGCAGGGGCCAAAGGACTTGGACTATCTTCCATTGCTTTCCCAGGACATAGCAGAAAGCTGGACTAGAAGTGGAGCGGCCGGAACTCGAACCAGCGCACATATGGGATGCTGGCACTGCAGGTGCCAGCCCCTATTCCACTTTTGATCCAGCTCTCTGCTATGTCCTGGGAAAGCCATGGGACATAGTACAAGTCCATGGGTCCCTGCACCCATGTGGGAAACCAAGAAGAAGCTCCTGGCGCCTGGCTTCAGCCTGGCCCAACACTGGCTGTTGTAGCCATCTGGAGAGTGAACCAGCAGATGGAAGAACTCTCTCTGCCTCTCCTTCTTTCTCTGTGTAACTTTGACTTTCAAATAAATCGTCTTTTTTTTTTTTTAAGTAATTAGATACATATGATGAAAACATAAAAGATAACTCGTAGAGCCAACGTTGTGGTATACAAAGTAAAGCCACCACCTCAACACCAGCATCTGACGTGGGTCCTGGTTTATGTCTTGGTTGTTCCATTTCTGATCCAGCTCCCTGCTAATGACCCAGGAAAGGCATCAGAATATGGCCCAAGTGCTTGGGCCGCTGCCACCCATGTGGGAGACCTGGATGTGGCTCCCAGTTCCTAGGTTTGGGCTGGCCCAGCTCTGGCAGCCATTTGGGGAGTGAACCAGAGGGCAGAAAATCTCTCTCCCCCTCTCTCTGTAACTCTGATTTTCAAATAAATAAATAAATCTTAAAAAAAAAAAAAAAACAAGAGAGAGAGAGAGAGAGAGAGAGAGAGAGAGAGAGAGAGGCTAGCGTTATGGTGAAGTGGGTAAAGCTGTTGCCTGTGATGCCAGCACCCTACATGAGTGCCAGTTTTGAGTCTCATCTGCTTCACTTCTGAACCAGCTTCCTGCTAATGGCCTGGGAAAGCAGCAGAATATGGCTCAAGTGCTTGGTCCCCTACCACCCATGTGGATGAGACTCGTGGCTCCTGGCTTCCACCCGAATGAGCCCTGGCCACGCAGCCATTTTGGGAGTGAACCAGCAGGTAGAGGATCTATCTCTGTTTCTCCCTCTCTCTCTCTGTAACCCTGCCTTTCAAATAAATAAATAAATCTTTAAAACAACAAAAAAAGCTTGAGCAATACTTTAAAAAAAAAAAGATAACTTGAACAAGTATATAAATAGTGTATGTCTTCCAAAGAAAACAAGGGGGCAAAATGATATGATTTGAAAAAAGAAAAACAGTTATATCCATTCTAAACAGGGAAAGAGAATAAGTATGGGTAGCCTGTAAAGTTAGTAAACAACACATACAATTGGAAAGAAATAAATCCAAGCATACTGGTAGGTAAACAGTTAACTACATGGAGTGAACCTTCAAATTTAAAAACTAAATTCTCTGATAATACCGTATTATAGTGGTTATCAAATGTGTAAATATTTGAACAACATGAAGAGTTTCAAAAAATAATGATACTTATGTCCCATGCCCAGAGATAGTTTTAATTGTATGGGGTATGCCCTTGGCTCTGAAATTTTTAAGACCTCAGCCACTTCTAAAGTGCATACAAATTCAGAAACTACTTCCATATTGTTTTATAAAGTGGTTATGCCAATTGATACCATGAAACAATTCTATGAGATATAATCCATGTACCTACAGTTCACTCATTTAAAGTGCACAATTAAATGGTTTTTCATGTACAAAATTTTGTTAATATTTTATCACCTCCCCTCCCACCACCAAAAAAACACTGTGCCTATTAACAGTCACTTCTCATCTCCCCATTGCCCTTATCCTATCTCCTTGCTGGGCAACCATTAATCTACTTTGTATTTTCATAGGATTGCCAATTGTGGACATTTTATATAACTGCAGTTATCCAATATGTAGCCTTTTGTGTCTGGCTTCTTCCATTTAACATGTTTTCAAAGTTCACCCACACTGTAGCATGTATCAGAACTTCATTATTTTTATTGCTGAATAATATTCCATTAGAAGGATAGACCAAATTTTATTCATCTTTTCATTAGTTGAAGAATAGATAGGTTGTTTCCATTTTTGGCCATTGTGAATAAGGAAGTATACCTTCTACCTCCAAATGTCAAAAATATAATCTGTGGCATGTGACATAATTATCAGTGATTTTAATTTAATTTTCAGTTGATCATCTTTTAATATGTTTACTGGCCCATTTCCTTTACCCCAAATTGCCTATAAATAACTTTTATGTGATTTTTCAAAAAGTTATTTACCTCTTTCTTACTAATCTATAGAAACTTCTTTTTAAAGATTTATTTACTTATTTGAGGCCAGTGCCGCAGCTCAATAGGCTAATCCTCTGCCTTGCGGCGCTGGCACACCAGGTTCTAGTCCCGGTCAGGGTGCCGGATTCTGTCCCGGTTGCCCTCTTCCAGGCCAGCTCTCTGCTGTGGCCAGGGAGTGCAGTGGAGGATGGCCCAAGTCCTTGGGTCCTGCACCCCATGGGAGACCAGGAGAAGCACCTGGCTCCTGCCTTCGGATCAGCGCGGTGCGCCGGCCACAGCGCGCCGGCCGTGGCGGCCATTGGAGGGTGAACCAACGGCAAAGGAAGACCTTTCTCTCTGTCTCTCTCTCTCACTGTCCACTCTGCCTGTCAAAAAAAAAAATTAAAAAAAAAAAAGATTTATTTACTTATTTGAAAGAAAGAGTGGAGAGAGAGAATCTATCTTCTATCTACTGGTTCACTCCAGAAATTTCCATAACAGCCAGGACAGGGCCAGGCAAAAGCCAGGAGTGAGGAACTCCCATGTGGTGGCAAGAACCCAAGTACTTGGGCTACGATATGCTGCCTCCCAGACACATTAACAGGAAGCTTGATCAGAAGCTGAAGAGCCAGGACTCGATCTCAGGCACTCCAAAATGGATGTGGGGATCCCCAGTGGTTGCTTAATCCACTATGCCACAATGCCTGCTCCAATCTGTAGATGCTGTTTATACTCTGAATACTAATTTCTCTGTTGTTTATATGTATTGCAAATATCTTTATCCCATTCATTGCTTGTCTTTTACTTTCTTTGTCTTTTGATAAGAGTAATTTTCACACATTGCAATGTATCCATCTTTTAATTATTATTTTCAAAAAGAATTAAACAGAACCTTTAGAAAAGATCTGTTTGGTTCTGTTTCATATCTCTCCCCTTATGAAAACCTCATCACTTCTCATTCTTGTGATTTAATATTTATGTCTTTAAATATTTCCTCAGTAGTTTATATCAACATTTGATAATTCCAATAAGTACTGTTGTAGCCATGTAATCTCTTACTTCTTCAGATTATCTATTACTCATCTGTGACCTGTTTCTTTATGAATGTGACAATCTTTGTGAGCTCACCTTTTGTTGATCTTAATTTGTGGGAATTCTATAAGCCTCTTACTTTTCCTCCAGAGAAGATTTCTATAGGCCTCTTAATTTTCCTCCAGAAATTTGCATTTGCTTCAGCCAGGAGTCATAGGGCACCACCTTAGAGAATAAAATTTCAACTGTTTTCTATTTCCTAATCATCTTTATTTCTTATTACTCTATTGTTTACTTTTTTCTAGATATAATGCTTTTCTGTTATTGCTACAAAGTTAATACCCACCCAAGGCCTTTACAGTTACTACTCTAACTAGAATACTGTTCTCCCAAATATTGGTCTGATGCATGCCCTCACTTTAGTCAATTCTTTGTTCAAATATTACCTCTTCATCTCTTTCTCGCCATCTCCTGATCTCTTTGACTCTGGATCTCTCACGCTCTCCTTCTCTCTCTTTTTCCTTCTTTGCCCCTTCCCTCTGGTCTGTTGGGTTTCTCCCAATAAACCCTTTCCCTTAAAAAAAAAAAAAATTTACCTCTTCAGAGAGGCTTTTATCCAAAATCCACCTATCTAAAACAGCTACCATCCTTCCTTTTTTTGCTTACCCTGTATTCATCTATGGTGTTAATCACTGCCTACTACAGTTATATTTATTAAATAAATCTATATATGTGCATATATATGCATATATATGTACGTATACACATATATATGTACGTATACACATTTTGTTTCCATATTTATTTTGTATCTCTCCCACAAGAATATCAGTTAAACAGGAGTGTGAAAGGCTTGTCTAGATAATCATTTCCACAATGTATACTACTGTCCTTGACACAGAACAGGCCTTAATATATTTTGAATAAATGCATTTTAAAGAGGAGATTAATATATTAAAGTCTAAATTTTTTAAAACATCTGGAAAAGAACTGACTCCCAAGTTGACATACAAAGGATGTCACTGGGCAAGAGGAAGAGCCATTCCCTCCTTTGAAAGTAGAAAGATCATAATAAAAAAGAAACAAGAAAAAGTAGGGAATTCTATGGGATCCTTCAAGGAGATCATACTGAAAAGCCTTGCTCCTTGCGGCGCCGGCACCCCGGGTTCTAGTCCCGGTCGGGGTGCCGGATTCTGTCCCGGTTGCCCCTCTTCCAGGCCAGCTCTCTGCTATGGCCAGGGAGTGCAGTGGAGGATGGCCCAGGTGCTTGGGCCCTGCACCCCATGGGAGACCAGGAAAAGCACCTGGCTCCTGGCTCCTGCCATCGGATCAGCACGGTGCGCCGGCTGCAGCGGCGGCCATTGGAGGGTGAACCAACGGCAAAAGGAAGACCTTTCTCTCTCTGTCTCTCTCTCTCTCACTGTCCACTCTGCCTGTCAAAAAAAAAAAAAAAAAAAAAGAAGAAAAGCCTTGCTTTTCTTCTCAAGTCACAAACTTTTTCCATACAGTTTTGGCCCTGCAGGGGTGTGTAACAATCAGTACTTTCATAAAGACTTGAGGAAAAGTAAGTAAAGGGGCAAGAGACAGTTATATTCCAGTGACATAAGGAATGCAAGAAATAAAGTGATCACGCAGGTAGGAAAATCACTTATAGAAGTTTTAATTGAAATGGGCTCTATCCCTTATTAAACAAACCAACCAAAAAAGTGATCTTAAGAGAATCAAAGATTTATTTTGAGCTAATTCCAATAAAAGATGATTCTATCATTTATTCAACGTAAAACACAAAGTTCCTAATATGTAATATCCAACTACTAACTACTACTAAGTAAGAGAATGTGTTCATGCTAAGTAATATATTCAGGTAACTTGAATACTTGAATTAGTGAAAAAAAAAAAAGCAAGCCTTGATCTGCCCTATCACTATACAAATCTATAATCTCTTCTCATCAGAACAGCCATACATTTCTTGCATCTACTTAAATTTGTGATTGGGGCTGTGCATTATTAGAGTTTCGTTAGCAAATCTGAAGTATAACAACACATAGTTTGTTTTATCTGACAGTACTGCAAGTATCTCAGAATTCAAATCTAGCCCCTTGATTATGTAGGAAGACGGCAGGAAGCAAGGTACTATAAGGTGACTTTAAGGCTTTCTGAAGGATACAGAATGATAAAGGTGACCTAAGAAATATGTATACTTGCAGTATTTCAAGCTTTCCTTTGAGAATAAGAAATTCAGTTAGTTACTTTAAAAGCAACTTCGAACAATAGCAGAGAAGACGGCCATTCCAAAAGTAGGTCCTGGGATACAAGGGGCAGATATTCTTACCTAGAGACACCAAGTTGCTGTAGTTCTCCAGCATCACATCTCTATACAGATCCCTTTGAGCAGAGTCCAGGCATTCCCACTCTTCCTGAGAAAAGTCAATGGCCACATCCCTGAACATCACTGATCTCTGGAACAACAAACATAGTATTAGTTGTGGAAATAAAGAAAATACTGCTTTCAATGGAAAGGAGACGATGGCACTCTGCAAAGGGAGAAAAAAGCAAACAGACTGGGAAGCTTGTGATGTTGGGAAGACAGTAGAGAACTTGGTGCTGCTTACGTATCAACATATCCCTAAGTACTTACTGCTGTAGGTTATTGTGTTATAAGAGTATCTCATTATGAGATAAGACAGAATTAAAACAAATGCAATGTCCAAATGAAACAGCCTATATAAGCACCCTGTAAAATATTTTATGTTAAATATCGTATGTTCTCTCTCTTCTCTGTTTAAGAAAAAAGTGAGAAAGTTTTACAATTTTTCTGTAAAGTCTTGTTAAGTTTGTTTAAAATTAAAGAATATGTTTAAGTCTCAGATTCATCATTACATCAGAGTATTACATGATAAACATTTTCCTTATCACCAGTAATTTATGAAATATTTCTATGGGATACAGAACAGCTCCATATAGAGAATTATCTGATTTAAGTGCTCATATTTGAATATTTTAGGTTATATAAAAACCTCATAAGTATTTCTTAGTTCTCAGCAAGTTATGGAGGTAAATGATAATCTTTCTTGTTACTACTTATCACTCATAAATGTACCTTTTCCTCACTCTAAGCAACAGAAAAGTGGAAAAGATAATCCAGATATGTTCATTCAGGATCACATACTGTGGAATCTCAAAATGATACCATTATTGGTATTCATGAATTATGCATTCCCAGGGAATATCTCCAATCTCTATGCATTTAATCTTGATCCCTATGTATTTAGTCCCCAATAATGAACTAATCTTAAAAGCTTCTAAAGTATGATCTCTTGCCATATACTGAGAATGAGCCCAGTGGCCGGTGCTGTGGCTCAGCAGGTTAACGCCCAGGCCTGAAGCACCAGCATCCCATATGGGCACCAGTTCTAGTCCCAGCTGCTCCTCTTCCGATCCAGCTCTCTGCTATGGCCTGGGAAAGCAGTAGAAGATGGCCCAACTTCTTGGGCCCTTGCACCCATTTGGGAGACCTGGAGGAAGCTTCTGGCTCCTGGCTTTGGATCAGCACAGCTGTGGCCATTGTGGCCAATTGGGGAGTGAACCAGCAGATGGAAGACCTCTCTCTCTCTCTGCTTCTCCTCTCTCACTGTGTAACTCTGACTTTCAAATAAATAAATAAATGTTAAAAAAAAAAAAAAAAGAGAGAGAGAATGAGCTCATTCAAGACCAACTCCTACAATGTCTAACTGGGAAACTTAGGTCTAAAGAGAAATTCAATGATTTTTCATGTGTAACATCATTAAAATCCTTCCCTATTTTATAAAATCAGGAAAATCTGCTCTTGTTACATCAGTGTTTCTAGTCAAAGATGCTGAATGGATTACGGAAGAATGTGAATAAAGGGGCCGGCACTGTGGTGCAGCATAGTTAAGCCACAGCCTGCAACATCAGCATCCCATGTGCCAGTACAAGTCCTGGCTGCTCCACTTCCGACCCAGCTCCCTGCTAATGGCCTGGGAAAAGCAGCAGAGGATGGCTCTTACACCCACATGGGACCTGGAAGAAGATACAGTCTCCTGGCTTCAGTCTGGCCCAGCCCTGGCCATTGCAGCCATTTGAGGAGTGACCAGTGGATGGAAGATCTCTCTCTCTCTCTGTCTCTCCTCCTCTCGCTTTCAAATAAATAAATAATAAATATTGAAAAAAATAAAAGAGGGGCCAGCACTGTAGTATAACAGGTAAAGCCATCACCTGCAGTGCCAGCATCCTATACGGGCACCAGTTCATATCCTGGATGCTCTACTTCCAATCCAGCTCTCTGCTATGGCTTGGAAAAGCAGTAGAAAATGGCCTAAGTCCTTGGGCCCCTACATCCACATGGGAGACCCAGAAGAAACTCCTGGATCCTGGCTTCAGATCGGCACAGCTCCAGCCATTGCAGCCATCTGGGGAGCGAACCAGTGGATGGAAGACCTCTCTCTCTCTCTTTCTGCCACTGCCTTTCTGTACCTCTGCCTTTCAAGTAAATAAATAAATCTTTAAAAAGAAAAAAAAAAAAAAAAGAATGTGAATAGAGGTTAGATTAGGAAGACACACTTAGGGGCAAGCGCTGTGGTGCAGTGGGTTAATGCCTTGGCCTGAAGCACCAGCATCCCATATGGGCACGGGTTCTAGTCCTGGTTGCTCCACTTCCAATCCAGCTCTCTGCTATGGCCTGGGAAAGCAGTAGAAGAAGACCCAAGTCTTTGGTCCCCTGCTCCTGTGTGGGAGACTGGAAGAAGCTCCTGGTTCCTGGCTTCGGATCGGTGCAGCTCTGGCCATTGTGGCCAGTTGGGGAGTGAACCAGCAGATGGAAGACACACACCCCCCCCAATCGCATAACTCTGACAAGAAAAGAAAAGAAAAGAAAAGAAAAGAAAAGAAAAGAAAAGAAAAGAAAAGAAAAGAAAGGAAAAGAGAAAAGAAAAGAAAGACTTAGAGAAGATTATCATTTATAAGAATGAAAGTCTGAAGAGCATATTCCTGAGTAGGGTCAATGTGAAAGGAAGTTTCAGGAGTAAGGAATGCTAACGTGTAAAATTGTAACTACAGAGAGTACAAAGAAACGTCAACTCACCTGAGCCATGGTTTTCAGAGCTGCCAGAAAAGAATGGTCCTCTTCTGAGTTCCCATCTTAGATAAGTATAGAGTCTGGGGAAGGCAGAGAGGGGATAAGAACACAGAACAATG